CATTTTTTGTTCAAATTTTATTGATACAGTTTTCTTTAACCTTCTATAATGTGAAGTGGTAGGTTTTAATACAAAATCATTCCATTTGCATATTGAACCAAATCTTCAACCCAATAGATGTTAACCTAATTGATTCAGGTTTGAAATCTTATAAAGTTAATTTTTATAGACTCTTAAATTGTGGTATGAATAATCCTTCTTTAAATGGATTAAACAGATAAACTTAATACAATATGTGAAATTTTGATCATGATATACACAATTGTAATAAAAAAAATTAATAATGAAATTTGGTGGAAAATATACTTACAAAATTTCAAGAAAATGGACTGAAGAATGGTAGATCTTGCCAAGTAAAACACAGAAAATTATATTTAAAAACGAAACTATAAAACAACAACCAAAAAAAAAAGAAAGAAAGAAAGAAAAAGTAAGATGAATGAATGGGTCCTGCTGTTGATAAGCTTTTTAATCAAATCGAACGGTGAAGGAATGGGTTGTGCCAACAATCATCCCGCCGGACGGTGACTTTAGGTGTATTCTTTTTTCTCTTTTTTTTTTTTTTTTTTAAACAGGACTTTAGGGGTATTCTTTTTAGAAAAGACCCACTAAATATACATGTTTTTTTTTATATAGAACACCCACTAACTATTATTTTATCAGAATTTGGCCCTTTAAGTCAAGTGGTTCTAACCACGTTTGAAAGTTTCATATGTCTCTTTCCAAAAGTAACGATTCAAGTCGACCCCATGACAAAATGTTAAAAAAATAAAAAATACTAGTTTATCAACATCAAGTCATCATATATACCAAATATCCTCGTTATTAAAATAAAATAAAATAAAAAACCAAAACAACCTTTCTTATTTTTCCCTAACCAATAACTAGTATAATTAATTTCCCATTTTTATTTTATGTGGTTTGAAAATTTAATAACGAAAAAGTCCAAAAGGCAGAAAAGTTCACAGTCAACACGATATATATGCAATAATATTCATGCGTTCCTCATAAGTCACAACCTACCATTATGGATTTTAAACAATTATGTACCATGTAAATGTTTTCATTTTCTAAAAGTATAATTTTGACGAAAACAATTAAAACTACTTTAAGATTTAAGATTATAGATTCGACTCTCCGTAATCACAG